AAATGCAGCCTGGTCCAAACTGTGATTTCGGTACCTGCCTATAGGCGCAAAGTTTCCCAGCTGCAGCTGCAGCTTCACAATGCAAGTTGCCAGTACTGCCTGCAATGTAAGTCTTTGCTTTCTGAGCAGCCTGCAAGTATATCGGCAAAGAGTTATGATGGCCACGGTGGGTTGGTAGATGCCAGATGTTAATGTCTGTGGATGAGGGGAGTGTGCCTATAGATTATGCCCTTTTTTTTTGAGATGCAGTTTGACTGAATGCAGCTTGGAAGTTTTTGGAGTGAACAGCAAGCTGAATCCACCAGGTACCCACTCTGATTTCTGTGTCGAGTTTTCTTGACATCTAATTTATTTGGCAAGTTTGGTAAGATAAAAGCCTGAATATTAATGAGGCATATTAGGCCATCAACAAGCAATAATTTCCTTAGTGGGCAACTTGCCCCTGCCTATTGAGAATCTTGCTGCACTGCTTGCGAAGGTAGAACAAGATGGTCCTGAAATTGAACTAGACCTTTGATGGACTTCTCGTCTGATTCTGCCATAAATCTCATGACAGCCCATGTCGCTCAGAGGCCTATAAGGTTTCTCCTAGGTGGTGGTGACTGTTTGGAATTCTTGTCCTGAAAAGATAGTGGAAGTGTAATTTTTGAATATTTTTACAGAAGAGGTTGATAAATTTTTGCTAAGCAAGGGATGAAAGGATATTAGGGGTAGGGAGGAATGTGGTTTTAAGGTTGCAATCAGATCAGCCATGATCATATTAATTGGCAGAGAATGCTTAAGGGGCCAAAAGGCCAACTCCTGCTCCTTGTTGGTACGTATGTTTTTCTGTGTATCTGCCGTCCATTTTTATCCATCTTTTCTTCCACATAACACGAGGAATCTCCTCTGTAATCCCATCTCCAGAATTTTGCTTGCACCGGTGTTGTTTATTTCTGGCAAATATATGGGACAAAATTTCACAAAGTAGGCAAAATGTCAAAAACTCTCGGAAGTAATCAGTGTTTCACAAATTCAGTAGTTCAAGAGCACCTTCCCAATGTAGTTTAAATAAACTGCTACTCTCCTAAACAGGGGTTTCATCACCATAAATATAGCTCATCCAGATGATCTTTTTCATTTCACCAAAGCTCCCAGTGAATTCAGTCCCAAGAATTTGCTGTTGTATTATTTTTAATATTGCCAGTACTGATTGAGAGAAGGCTATATTACCAGTTGTGAGAGGCCTGACACGATACAGTTTTTGAACACTTAAATGCTCAGATCTGACAGAGGCAATCTCTGACCAACTTCCTGCTCCTTGCTGTCATCTTTCACACAATTATTATAGCTTCGTGGAACAGATAGACAATCTGATAACTGTCACAATTAGAATTCTTTTACTTACCATAGCCTCTGACTGGGACTTTTTTGATATTGTGGCATAAGTAATTAAAGTGCTTATTGTTTTACATTTGTGAGGATTAATGTGTTTCATTAAAGTTAAATGTAAATTAATCATTGCTACCCACTAACTTTCATGATATGAAGATAGTTCTTCCATAATTGACATGATTGTGTCCTGCAATCTGGATCTCTCCCCTCTTCCCGCCAGCACCAATGTTTTTTCCCTCCTCCTAAGTTGATGTGTAAGGCTGTATTCATCTTTAGTTGGCAAATGACTATTCTTCATTGTGATTCCTCCCTTACCTAGGATCCTGTGGTCAGTTGCAGGAGCATACTTACCACTGCCCTGGTTGAGCCCATTCAATTCAGGTCAGATTATTGATTACACCTGAAGCTTTCAAGTTTGTATGGCTTAAAGACCATTTGATAAAAAAAAATTTGATGAGCAAGGCTCACGTGCAATTACTTAAAACTAAATGAGTGATGTTCTCAACTGCAACCCCTTTTCCCTGCTTTTATCAGAAGCATTAACCTGAGTACTCCCATCAGGAAATTAGCCATCAGAAGAGGTTTTGTTCCATGATAATATTATCCAGTTTCAATTGTTTTTAACAATGACAGGTAAAAGGGGTTTGTCGCATGTTAAAAAAGCAATTGCTTCTCTAACGCAGTTATCTGAATTGTGTACATTGCAATAATCATGTGTGAAGCCATTATAGTAGAATTGCTGCAGTTGCTGTCCCCCCTCATTAACGAAGAAAACATTTGCCAAATGTATTTCTGAACAATGGCCCTTTAAATCTGAACAATATTCAGGGATTCTTCATGCAGGACTTGTTAATTGGGTTTCCTTGGCAACAGTAGTCAATGAGTTAAATACAACAGATGAAATACCTCCAATTCTCTCAGTGTATGTGTTGGCTCCTGTTGGAGTACTGTCTACTTCCCTTGTCGGAATATTCCATTTTGGAAAGGGATGCATAATTGTGGGAAATATTTCTCCACTCTGCTATGCTTGTGAGAACAAATATTCAATATACAATTGATAGTTCCGGGCAAAAGAAAGAAATTATACATTGGCACTGAATTGAATTGATTTAACATACAAATTGTGTACGATGAACAATGTATCTGACCTGCTTCATGTACCTCTTCAGGGAGCTGGTTATGTGCTTATAGGGAGGAGTCATCTTATCCTGTGTTTTGTCATCTTATTAATTGTTTTCTATGTGTGGGTTTGTTGCAGTGTTAGCTTTTGTCGATGACTGACTGAGCACATCATTGTTGTGTATCCGATAATAGTCAGGAAATTCTCTAGTAATCTTGATGCCAGGAGCTGGCAGCCGTTCAGAGATCAGAACCAGCCGCTACAGTAATACTGTCACTAATGCAAGCAGCTGTTCCCATCTGCAGTGCAGTATCGCAGCCCTACAGTCAGACCTCTCAGGGCTTTTCGCTAGTGGAGCTAACAAGGAGGCTGGCCCTGCTTGGAGCTTCTGTACAGGGGCAAGCCAAGGATGGGAGGCTCCCAGTCTGTGCAGCAAGGGCAGGCAAGCAGCCTGAATCAGGAACCTTCAGAGGCTATGTGAGTCGTGCATCATTTTTTTTTTGTTTTGCTTTCAAACCTTAATCCCCCACCTCATTCACGAGGCCAGCACCATCATCAGCCATCACAGTGTAGTTAGTCCGAGCAGCTAGCAATGCCCCTGGCTTTTCATCAAGCCTGTAGTATCCTGAAATAACAATATGCTATCGCTGAAGGACAATATTTTGTAGCTTCAACAGCATTATTGTAATTTCTGAACTGGAACTAAAAATAAAAATAAGATTGCTGTAACCTATGAATTGTATTTATTATTTGTATGTCAGAAATGCTGAATGATCTGAGGGTGAATTAGTGATGCTTTGGTTTTAAAATGCTTAATTACCATAGTGGTATCTCTGAGCGACCTGTCCTGTTCTTTTGTGGAGCTGCACATTGATGCTGGTGGATTCTCTTATTTGCTCTTAAAGAGAAGGGGACTCTGCCCTTCAGTGATGCTTTATGAATAGGATTATTTAGAATCAAGTCCCTGCTTTTCTTTAGTAATTGCAGTGCTGACTAAATGCTTAGCTTAACTGCACTGCAAAGCTAGAGTCAGTTGAACACACACCAAATAGAACATCTCAAAAGACGTTGAATAACATTCTTACGATTTTCTTTTCTCTGTACATTCACATGTGCTAAGTTTCAATCTACACAAAGTTAACTGAAAATCCACAAGCTCTCTGTTTAAGATCCTGATGCTGCCACACATGCAGCAGAAGCACAGCTAGAAGCAGCTGTTAGTTCAATGGGTGACTTGAAATCTGAAATAAATATGGAAACGTCATTGTCTTCTTCTGGGCTTTATGTTGAGCAGGTGATGACTGACTTTGAATCATGGTGAGTATGATGACACAAGAGATTATTTGTGCGGTGTTTTGCCATTTTGAAGCTATATCCTTTCTTTATTGCAGCAGTAGGTGAAAAAAAACTAGCTCACAAAACCACCCCTTGAGGCTGCGTGTAACTAATGAAAGAATGTACTATTAGGGCTGTCTGGGGCAAAGAATGCTGATTCTAGTCCATTAGTGCTCTTACACTTACTGACACTAACATTTATCAGGGCAATTTTTCTTCTCTATTGTCTTACATGGGCACTTGTCATGTTATTTATGAAGTGAGAAAATAGAACAACTGATTGCCACTTGACAGAATTAGGCCTTGCATATTGATCCTTTCCTGTTGACCATCTTTTTGATTGGCAGATTTGCTCAAATGCATACAAAATCTATTTAAAAACCCCTTTAGAAATGTCATTAAAGATCAGCTCCAAGCAGGGTCATTTTTCTTTTGAATAAATAGCATTCTCCTAAAGGATAACCTTAAATATTTTGCTCAATTAATCAGGGTTCTTTGTACTGAATAGAGCTACAATGAAGACTTCAAATCACTGTGAATTTTGTGACCTATGATGTAATGACTGTGCTTGTGTAGATATGGACCAATAATACTCTCTGTTCAACTCAGTCCAGTACTCATGACCCATGTGCTTTCCAGTGAAGTGAGCTAATGACAACTATGGGGAGCACTTAAATATTTCTTTGCTAGATGTGAAGATTCAATGTAATGATTGTACCAGTGAATAAATGTTTGGATTTATATTAGAAGGGAAATAGTTGTATGCAATGAAACAATTACAGAAGCTGCAGCATTGTGCCTTTTAAACCTGAAATTTCTGGGAGAAATCCCACTTGCTTCAGGTATATCATGCATAGCCAGTCAGAAAACCATTGTCTAATGAAGGATTTTCATAAACCTTTGCTTATAGTCATAACAAAATAAAAACACAAGACAATTGTTTGACAAAAGGCCAGTCAGCCAAGCTAGGTCATTATCATTTTATTTCCATGTTTGGAAAGCGAATATACTATGGCTTCACACTCAAAGATGCAATATCTTAGCTTTCTTATCCGTAGTAAAATGCTATGGTGGTTTGGAATTTGGGATATTAATATTCCTTAAAAGCAACTTCTCACCCGAGTCTAATTCTAGTTCTCAAACTAGGGCATTGCTTTAGATTTTTCTCTCCATGCTTTCTCCCATTCCTGGTGGAAATTGCAGGTAAATCCCCCCAAGCCACTGACATTGAAATTTAATTAGAACAAAGTAGAGTTCAGAAATTAGATCAAAAGACAAATTGAAATCAGAGGCATTTGCAAGCAATGTTACAAAAGGAATTGTTGCAGATCCAGAGTGCTTGGTGCTTGGAACCATTTTTGCAATTTATATTAATGACTTGAATACAAAAAAAAAAGTCTAGAGGGAACAACCAAGCTGTAAATGCATGAAAAGGTTTTTAAAGGGATTGAGATCAGTCAGGGGATGTAGCAGAATAGTATCAAGTTAAACTGCACTTTGTTCAAAATCCGTAGTGAACATCAGGATTATGAAAACCTGTTGCATTTATCGAGTCTCTATTATGGTTTTGTGTGAATTGAAAACACTTTGCAGTCACTTTTGTATGGCAGTCACGGTCATAAAGGAAGAAAATCAAGCAGTTAATTTGTGCACAGGAACAGCAAAGCCAGTATTATCTGTTATTAGTGATATTGACCCAGGAGACTGAGTGACTCCCTTATGCTTCTTTGAATGTTCCAATTGCATTTATACATAAACCTGAGGGCAGGTGAGACCCTCAGTTTAACAGCTGATTCAAAAGAGACTGCCTCTGATGGTGTACTGGTTCCTTAGAGTTGTGATGAAGTATTAGTCTAGATCATTTACTCAGTTTTCTGGAGTAGGCTTGGAGCCATGACCTTCTGGGGTAGAATTTAAATTCAGGAACGGAATGGGTGAAGACCAGGCAAACCACTCATCAGGAGACTAATCCAGTCAGCAGGAAGCTAGATTGGGAAGGGGGAAGATAGGGGGAATGGAGCACGGTCAGGTGAACAAATAAGGAGAGACTGGGACAGTAGCAACTCACATTATGCTGTGGAGCCAGTATGGATCGCCTGTTTCTCTTGGCTTCACAAAACAATTAGAATAGAACAAAGAACTGCAGATGCTGGATTCCTGAAACGAAAATAGAAATTGCTTGTGAAACTCAGCAGGTCTGGCATCATTGTGAGAAGAAAGCAGAGTTAATATTTTGAGTCTGGTTACTTGTTTCAAGCACAGTGGCTTGGCAGCTGGTTTGCAATGCAGAGTGATGCTAACAGCATGGGTCCAGTTCCCACACTGGCACGGTTACCACAAAGGGCTACGCTTCTCAACCTGTCCCCTCACTTGACATGTGCTGACTGTAAGTTTAAACCACCACAAGTTATCTATCTCTGATGACAGAGCAGCCCTATAGTCTGGTAAGACTATGATAAATTTATCTTTAAATATGCATACTTGCCTTAATTATGACAAGAGTGTGGTAAAGACTTTCAAAACAAAGGCTGGTCAAGTGGTCCACTTGTTTAAAAACTGTAAAGTCAATATTCTTGTGTTTGAATGCTTCCAAATCAGCAGTCTGACCATCAGATCCACTGTGTCAGAAGTAATAATCTTTTCACAACCTTAGTATCCTCCATTCCAGAGAGTGCAAACTTTCAGGTCCATGAAATCTTATGTCTATCAGCCTGTTTCAGGTTGTCTGCTGCAAAAATCTTTATTAATGGCCTTCAAACCGAAGAACATCAGAAACAGCAGCAAGTGTAGACTGTACAGCCCTCAAGGTTGCTGTGCCATTCAATACAATCATGGTTGACCATTTGTATCAACTCCCTGTATTCTTTAACTTTTTGAGAGCCCAGAATCTGTTACAGACTGAAATATATCTATAACCTGTAAGTATAGTGAATTCCAAACTCTTATTGGAAAATTGCTCCTTATCTCAATCCTAAATGATCAAGCCACTGTCAACTTTGAACTCAAATATTGTAATATTAAGGCCTGATTGGCCTGCTATATTCCACTCACAATAAGCCTGATTTTATCTATGAATCTGCTGATCATATTCCATCCCACAGTCAATCTCCATCACTGATTATGCCTGTGCATGCTGACCAACATTGGCTCCTGTTCTCATTGCCTCAAATTTAAAATCTATACTGTTGCATTTAAGTCACATCATGGCTTTATGCCACAGCATCTCTGTAATCTCCTCCAACCATCTGAAAGATGTATGTCCCTTTATTTGTGGTGTTTTGCATTCCCCACTTCAATGCACCACCATTAGGGCTGTGTCTTCAGTTGTCTGAAACATGGGGTCAGAAATTTTTTTCCCATACCTCCCCACCTCCTTCTATTCCTTAAAACCCATTTTTTAAATAAACCGTTTACCATACCTTGAATATCTTTTTTTTTAAATGTCATTATGGCTTTGTAAAACTGCTTGGACTATTTAGAACACTAGAATAATGTAAGTTGTTGTTTGCCTGATATTTTTCAAAATGCTATTTCAGTGAGTGCACTACCAGGTTAGGTGGCTGCTTGTTCACAATACTAATTATTTTGAATATTGTAATTACCTGGATGTTTGGAAGCTTATGGTATCCTGTTGCTTTCTTCTTGGCAATGCCTTGACCAATCAGTGCTGACTTGCCAACCGATCTTTTTCTCCTGTGGTATAAATGCTTGTAATTGTTTAAAGTTTGGCATTTTTGCATTTGTCCTGATGACTCCAAAATGAAAGTGCAAGTCTTCTCTTTTCCACAACATTCAAGATACTACAACCAAATGACCGGACAATATTCATTTTAAAGTTTCAGTCATGTTAACATAATTTTGAAAAGTGTGTGAGAAAGGAGTAAGAAATTTAACAAAATTGGAAAGAATCATGAATAGAGATGAGACAGTTCATAGCAACATCAGGGTATCATAGCAGTATGACTCCACAGGGCAAAGTATTGTTGTTGTTATCGTCACAATTATTGGGGACAATTCAATTGCCTGTCAATGTTTTTGTCTTCAGCATGTTCTTGGCAACATGGCTTCCAAGGAAATGTTGGTTGCTTAGCACAAGTAAAGAGTGCAGATTGAAGAGAATAGCTGCTTTCACTTCAGAGATTGACTTTGTTTTGAGATGTTCGTGTAAAGAATGAAATAGTTCCATGTTATCTCAAAGGCCAAAAAACAGACTGTATTTTAACAATCCTTCACAACATAATCCTCAAAAGTAAGAAAATTAGTTGAAAGGTTTGGCTAATGGCTATTAAAACTTTTGTTGCCATCTGCTGGTGTTGTGCAAATTTGAACTTTGATTGTAATTCAGAAACAAATACTGGTTTATTGAAAAGAAATGGTTTTAGCTGATGAATGATTTTTAGCACCCTACACTGATTAAAATTAAAACCGGAACGTTTATGAATCACAAGGTTAGAGAGTGTTAGTGGACCTACCATTCATTTTTGCCTTATATGGGGATTTGATTGTAGAGGTGAATGATTTAAGCTTGTATTACTACACGGGGCATTCTTTTTGTGCCTTGAGATTAGATAGTTTGTTCCTTTGTAGCTGTTCTAAAAATGTCCTTGTTCAGGCAATTTATCTTTTTTGTTTCCATATTTCTCATTCTCTCCAGGCCATAGGAACTACTGTAGGAGGACAAATGGGTGCTGAGGCCTTACCACTAATGCCCTGAAATTTGACTGAATTGAGTACTTAATGGCATATCAGGGCCAAGCCCATTCTTCCAACTTGCTGCATTTTTGTTTGTTTTTAATCTCTCTGCCTTTTCCTGTGAGCTGTTGATGTTATTAATGTTGTTATTGGCATTTTAATGACAGGTTGTTATTGCATTTAGATGCCTCCACAAAGTGAGCCTTAATTAGTACTGCTATGCAGTATCATGGTTGTTAACATAGGAATAATGTAAGTAGTTTGACTCGGGAGGAACCTGCAGCACAGAGGGATTTAGGAAACCTCATGCATTAATCACAAAATACGAGGTAATAGGGAAAGCAAATGAATTGTTGGCTTTTATTTCAAAGGGAATGGTGTATACAAATAGTGGCTGAAAGCCACTGATCAGGTAACACCTAGAATACTGTGAATAAGTTTGGTCTTTTCATTCTGGGCATGGAGGGATTATTTTTTGAGGAGAGTTTGAGTAGGTTGGGTCTGTGCTGATTGGAGTTTAGAAGAATGAGAGGTAACCTTATTGAAACAGTCAGGATTCTTATGGGACTTGACAGGGAAGGTGTGCAGAGGTTATTTCCCCTGGCGAGAGAATCTGGGAGCAGAGGGCATAATCTCAGAGTAAGGGATCACCCAGTTAGGACAGATAAGGAAGAATTTCATCTCTTAGAAGGTAGTGAATCTATGGAATATTTGCCACAGAGGTCTGTAGAGGCTGTGCCCTTATGTATATTCATGGGTAATCAGTAAGGGAATCAAGGATTATAGCAAAAAAGCAGAAAGGGGAGTTGGGGATTATCAGAACATCCATGATCTCATCAAATAGTGGAGCAGACTCTATAGACAAAATGGTCTGCTGCTGCTCCTATGTGTTATGGTCTTATATCACAGACTAGGCTGATCCTATCTTCACTGAAAACTCAATATATTTAAATCCAGGAAAATTCAATGGATAGTTATGGGAAACAGGAATCCGATTTGAATTTCCCTCCCCTAACATGGGAATACACATTGTAGCACTCCTGTAAAAATAGCAAATGTGATCAAATGAACGTCTAAGACTAGAGACTGGATCGAGGAGTTTTCTGGTCTGTAAGGTTGACTGCCATTGAGTCATTGTAAGAGGATTAATGGGAGCTTCGTGGAAAAATTTTTCGGTTTTGAATTTGTTTCTAAAAATTTTCTAATTTCCGATTAAAAACCTGAGTGATTGCTAAACTGTTCAATTACCCAAAATTTTATTTAAACCCAACTAGGAAGAAGTACGTCAAGAAAATAGATCAAAACAACATGTGTAAGAGATGAATTGGATGCAGATGGATCATTTTTGTGTCGAATTTTTTTCCCGTAATGTTGCATTCCTTGCACCCCACTTTCACAAAGATAAAATGAAAGTTAGAGAAATTAAAACTAAGATTGGAGGACCTTATAGCCATTAACAGTTTCATTTGTAGGACATTATTTGTAAAAATGGAGCTGCTGGACAAAGACCCATCATATTTCCCTTTGTTTATTAAATTTAATGAATCCCCACGTTCTTTAGTAACATGTGACCTGATTGGGCGTTTCCAAAATATGACTTGGGTTGGGGGCTGATTGTTGAATTCATGGTGGGATCTTAATCTATGGTATGTTTTTGCTGTTTTTTGCATCAAGGAAACTTCTGCTGGAGTGGGTTTGTGGAAGGTACTCTTGGTATTTGCTGCTAGAATGTTGCAGAGTGTCCAGGTACTTTATTGAATTTTAACTCTGGGTTTGGGCAGAAAGAAAGTGGCAAAAAACAAGGGATGTGGGATAAATTTGTGATTTAACTCCTTTTATTCCACTCATAAGAAGTGGAAAAATGCAGAGTTAATTGCATAGGGCATGTTCTATTCTTTTTGCAGATTTGACAGTGAATCTGTAAATCAGTTTCTAGGCTATTTCTGAAGCAGTGATTTCTTAAACATACTTTTTTCCTGTTTTGGTTATTTTTAACTTGCTGTGTGACCATTTTCATTGGTGTAGTGTCTGAGGATTAATTGCTTCATTGTGATTCTTGCTTTCCTTTATGCATTGGATATTGCCTTACTTATGTGACTTAAAGGAAATCAAAGTCATTTAATGCAAGCAGATAGTGGCAAACACTTGATTTACTCATAGAATTATCTTATTTTATTTTATGGTTCATTAGCACTGCAAATTAGATGCAGTTCGAGAACAGACATGTCCTAGCTGTAGTTTGCTATCCCCTGCTGTGATGTGAATGGAGATGGTGACATTAGGTCCACTGGGAAAGTGGGGGTTGAGCACAATATCTGTTCCCAGGCTAATCCTCATCTAATGTTTACCATGCCTTAAACAAAATGAAATCTTCATTAAAGTGTTTTAATGCCTGGTGACTGTTATGTATTCTGGGTTTACAGAATTACCAATATCTGATTCAGTCATTGGGATGATTGAGCTGCTTTTGTTAACAAAATACATGCGCCAGTGCAGGGATAATTGCTGTCCGATAATCCAAGCTACATAAATTCCAAACGTGGAATGCCAATAAGACATTCTTTCCTTCAGAAGATTAAAATGCTAAGTTCTTGTGATAAAACATTTTGAGTGACACAAACCATTTCCACCTTCACCAATGTATAACCATTCTTTACTCCTACTTAACTGTTTTAACTACATTAAAAATGGAACTAAATATTGCTCTAGCCTCTGGCTAATGTTTTAATCAGATTTTAAAAAACATTTGGTGATAAAGCCAAGAAGAGAAAATATTTTCCAATGCTATTTTGTATGATGTCAGGAGATGCAGTAGCAAGCACCAGTTATTCATTCAACTAGATTATCATAATTTATTTCTCAAGTAGATACATATTTTATACACAGATGAATTATAATACTTTAAGGCATCCAGAGATGACTTTCATAAGTCCCATCAAAGGCTGTTGCAAATATACATTAATGAATAGATTCTTGTGATATTTTACTTTGACAATCATTGATTCAGTGGCATTGTTCATAGACAATGTAGGTTTAGTTAGTGCTTTTTTTAATGTCTGGAGAACAGAGCTCGGGTTAAAGGGTTAAACCTTGCTCTGAAGGGTTATATTTTGAGAAAGCCAATGTAGCTCCCAATCAAATCAAAAGACTGTTGTTTGAAGGGACCCTAATGTCGGACACATCAGGGGGTTAATCTCTACTCCAAAAGCTCTAACACAATGAATGAAGACAATGATGAATGAATACTACAATGTGTTAGGAGGCATGAAGGTGAGTCAAGAGGATAGGTTAACATTTTATTATGGATTGTGCTGACTTAATGGAAGTTAGTAACACGAATTTGAAATTTGTTTCATGTTCCATCAGATTTCCCCTTCTTTAACTCCCAAAAAAAAACTATTTCTGCTGACAAACAGTCTTATACCATATTCTGCCTCAGTGACACTGTCATACACAATGTGGGCACAATGATGACTCAAGTACAAATTGAGTGGCAATGTTTGATGCACCCAGATTAATACATCTTTACAAGAACACTGTATATTAACTACATAGATTTTTTGAATAATTCTCTGTGACAGTATCATCACTGCCTAAAACCCAGTAGTAACTGATGTAGCTCAGAGGAAATGTCCTTTTTGCATACATATTTCAGAGCTCATTGAGTCTATGTTCAATATTTTAATGTGATGCACTTTTGGATGAGGCAGTGTTCCTGAGTATCTCCCATTTCGTAAACCTCTCTATACTGTTAGCAATTTGTATGCCTTTGTCTCCTTCATGTGAACCCTGTCAGATGTTTAAAGTGACAAAAATCTTTGATCACAGCTTCAAAATGTGTAATGTTTAACTTAATGAGAATTGCAGACACTGAGATGATGTGTGACATGAGTATTTTTAATGCTGAAACATTTATTGAGAATCTGCGAAATGGAGGTTATGGTTGACTTTTTAGATTCTGTACAAACACAAGACCTGGCTTCCAATTTACTATTAAGCTTTAGGACAAGTTAAAACAAAATATAGACAAAATTGTGGTTGACTCTTAACTGCCATCTGGGCAATTAAGGATGGACAGTAAGTGCTGGCCTAGCTAATGATAGTCTCATCCTGTGAATGAATAAACACAGCAAATTGTAAGTGAGACTTTGGTAGCTGAAGGTATCAATGTAATGAAAAGATCAGCAATGAACGTGTCAGAACAGGCAGCTGATCAAAATGATAAATAAAATGCAAATAAATTCCATCCAATTAAACCTTTCTATAAAATGTTTTCTACATTAATAGAAATCCATAAACATTTGTATTTTGTTTTCAATACAAATTCAGTAAAACATCATAAATAGGCACAGAACCATCTTATTATGCATATTAATTTTGTTCATATTTAAAAATAATCATATTATCTCACACAACCCAGTCAATCCAACATCTCTTTGTGCTGTGTTTGATAAGGACAGCCATGAGGTATGATAAGGGGTTTGCAGAATTTATCCCTGCGCCATCTGCTGCCTTGGAAGTAGGTCAGCCTGTAGGTTGATGGCAGAGCTCAACTCCATACAATCTGCCTAGTTATTTGGGTCTAAACAAAAAAAAGACAGAAATCCAGCAGTAGCTTCAGTAATCATTGTTTTTAAAATGATGTTGGTCACCGTTTGGAGTAGATTTAAATTGCAAATGACACTACCATCAAAATACAAAAATGGAACTTATTTCAAGGAGATCCAGCATATTTTGAACTGGCTGCTGCTACTGCTTACTGATTGTGTTCATACTGTTTGTTTTATAGCAGAAAATTCACAGTTTGTTAATTTTCTTGCTTATTTTGAGGGGACTACACTGTTACAGGAATCATCTTGTATATTGTGGAAGAAAAGACATTTTTGTTGAAGCATTTCTTTGGGACAATTCACAAGAAAACCAAGAAAGAGGAAAATCAACATTTATGAGAGGAAATTGCTAATGATTTTTGCAATTGGGCTCTGACTGGTAGAGGCAGTGCTTTGGAGAATGCTGCTAGTGATGGTTGACACATAACTGCCAAGCTTTGTTTAGATATTAAACCAGGCAGGTTGACTTTGACTTGTCAGGCTTTTGCCCCAAGTAATGAATGAGTTAATGGATGCCATACTTTTTGTTGGTTTGAAACAAGTGCAGTGCATGCACTTTGGCTTTCTTTCTGAAATAACAGGATCCCTTGTATCAAAAATGCACCTTCCAGTGTATGTAAAGGCACCATATTGCCAGTCTGACTGACAATCCTCTACTGGTGATGCGTGGTTTTTTTTTTTAAAACATTCAAAATCATCCAGCAAATGTTGTCCAGTTGCAGAATCACACCTAATGTTGAACACTATGTGGTGTGTTTCGCAAGTACAGGGTGGTTGAGTATACCTTGCTTGTTGTCTTAGAATCATAGAATCCTGACATGCGGAAAGTGGTCATTCAGCCCATTGAGATAACAAGATGTAGAGCTGGATGAACACAGCAGGCCAAGCAGCATCAGAGGAGCAGGAAGGCTGACGTTTCGGGCCTAGACCCTTCTTCAGAAATGGGGGAGGGGAAGGGCGTTCTGAAATAAATAGGGAGAGAGGGGGAGGCGGATAGAAGATAGATAGAGGAGAAGATAGGTGGAGAGGAGACAGACAGGTCAAAGAGGCGGGGATGGAGCCAGTAAAGGTGAGTGTAGGTGGGGAGTTAGGGAGGGGATAGGTCAGTCCTGGGAGGACGGACAGGTCAAGGGGGCTGGATGAGGTTAGTAGGTAGGAGATGGGGGTGGGGCTTGAGGTGGGAGGAGGGGATAGGTGGGAGGAAGGGCAGGTTAGGGAGGCGGGGATGAGCTGGGCTGGTTTTGGGATGCGGTAGGGGGAGGGGAGATTTTGAAGCTTGTGAAGTCCACATTGATACTGTTGGGCTGCAGGATTCCCAAGCGGAATATGAGTTGCTGTTCCTGCAACCTTCGGGTAGCATCGTTGTGGCACTGCAGGAGGCCCAGGATGGACATGTTGTCTGAGGAATGGGAGGGGGAGTTGAAATGGTTCGCGACTGCGAGGTGCAGTTGTTTAGTGCAAACCGAGCGTAGGTGTTCTGCAAAGCGGTCCCCAAGCCTCCGCTTGGTTTCCCCAATGTAGAG